ACCCAGTGTGGTCAATCATGTAGTGGAGACTTCACATGTTTCAAAGAAATGTAACTGTTGCATTAACTGAGTCTGAGGCCATTGCCGCAGTAGATTGGTTGAGTCACTATAAAATGTAAATGCCCCCTATCAGTTTGAACCACTGTAACAACCAATACATTTCATATCCAGAGTCTGAAATTACACAAGGCTTTAGAAGTTCCAAAACCTGTCTTTAGATTGCTAAGTCATAATTTTCTAATTCTGGCAGCATGCTCAAACCCTACGTAGGCTATTTCATCATTTCTGGAAGCATCTGGGACTTGCTAAATAAAAGCTGCTGGGAGGATGTGTTCTGTCATTGAATGGAAAGCACCATACACAAAATCATTATGAATATTGATCATGTGATTTTCTACTGAAAGCCCATGAACCATTCAATATGCCACTGCCTCAATGCTGTGAATTTTTGGCCCCCGCCTATGCAACAGAATCAGTAGAGGTTTGGTTGGAGGCCATGATCATTGGATCCACAGTTGGCCTTCAGACCCTTCAGAAAGGAAGAGAAGCAACCACCTGTTTTATTTTTCCATTCCCAGGCTTAAGAGTCCCATGGAAAGCCCATGCCTATTAATTCGTCTTCTTTGACTGTTAATATATTTGAGAAAGGATTAAGAAGAAATACTGTACTAAAGGAGTAAAATAAAGAGACTTTGCAAAGCTTGCCAGAGATCTGAAGTTTACCCACGGCCTCGGGGACCAGTACAGGCCAGGAGTGGAATTTTATTACATGTATACTTTGCCCCAAGTGATGCCTTCTTTGATTCTTTACAGTAAACGTGAAATTGACTTCAGATTTTAGGCCCACAAACATATTTTTAAAGGCATTTTAATCTTATTTGGGTGATGAATGCCTTTGCAGACTGGCTAATAGGCACACGTCAGCACACATTTCAGTGGTTCCTTCAATTTTGAATTTCCCTTTGCATGTTGTCTTTGATCCTTCCACTTTGTACTTAGAGTTGGATTACTTCTATAAAGCAAGCAGACAATTTCCCTTGATGTGGATCTAGGGGAAGTAGTCCAGAGGCATATTTTTCCCCTCTACTTTCCCATTCTCAAGCAATATGCTCCAGGAATATAGGTTACTCCAAAAACTATGGGAGAGATTATCTAAGTAGCCCCTTGATACCTTCTAAGCAGAAATGAGCAACACGCAAAGGCGGGGAAGCTAGAATGCTTTAAAGAGGAAGAAAAAACAAGAAGCATGGTAGCCTGTGAATACTTGAGTAAAGGAACTATGGCGTGTTGTGTTGATTTTTCTATCCCAGCACTTTACTCACACTGGGGTCCTGCTGCCATTGTTGGCAAAACTCAATAGATGAAAGTTTGTTTTGTTTCCCAGAAGATGTTCTCTAATAAACACTTTGCCAGAGACGCAGGTCCTTCTAACCCAAGTGACAGAGTTTTTGTTAGGGAGAAGAATAGCTTCTCTTTCTACACAGAATCAGGAAGAAAATTCTAGTTTCAAACTTCAGGTCAGTATTCTATGGTGACTAACATAACAATAAAATTTAAAAAATAAAAAAAAAATTAAAAAAATTAAAAGAACAAAAAAACTTCAGTTCAGCTTTTAGCTCTTTCTTTCATTTTCTTTTGGATTATGTTTTTTCTTTTCCTAAGTTCTTGAGTTGAATTCTTAGCTCATGCTTTTTCAGTGATTATTCTTTACTTAAATAGCATTAAGTGTATGAATTTCTCAATGCAGGTGTGTCCCACAAGTTTGTGATATATTATGTCCATAATTGTTCAGTGTAAAGTATTTTAAAATTTCAATTATTTTTTCACTGATCCATGGATTATTTGGAAGTAGATTTTTAAGTCATGTATGTATTGGGAAGGTTATGTTACTGATTTCTCATTTATTTGCATTGTGATTTGTATGATATAGACTACTAGATATTCATTAAGAATTTACTTTTGGCATATTATAATACAGTCAGCTTTCATAAATATTCCATATATCTTTGGGAAAATTTGTATTTGCTTATCTTTATTGGGCCAAGCTTGTGATTAGTGTTTCAGTCTTTTCTCTCCAGGCTGATCATTTTGTTGTTTGATTTATGTGTCTCAGAAAGCTGGGTAGAAATCAGTTTTTTATGTTTATGGATTGAATGTAAATTAAGATAATCATATTAGGCACACACAAAGTACAAAATTGTTATACCTTCTTGGGGTTCCTTTTATTAACTGTAGCTTATTTTATCCTTAATAATGATTTTCCTGGCTTTGTTTTGGCTTCTCTTTGCCTTGTATATATTTTAGCATTCATTTACTTTAAGTCTTTTGGTATTTTTAGTTTTGAATGTGTTTCTTGTAAAGAACTTATCAACAGATCTTTTAAAATCCAGTCTGGTAACCACTGTATTTCAAAAGTTGTCTGATTTGGTGTTTTCTGTTCCCCTTGATTTATGTTTATATATTTCTTCATTTTTACCTTCTAAAAATAGAATCAATTAAGTTTTAATATTCCTTTTGTCTGCTTTGAAGTTTTACATATTATTTCTGTCCTTTAATGATAACCCTTATATTTCTCACACGCATACTGAAATAAGTCTGAAATTTATCAACTTTGCCACTTTTCTAAATAGTACAATGCCTTAGAATGCCACTCCATCCCACATGTTACTACTATTCAGCATTTTGGAACCATCTTGCTTTTGTAAGTCCCAAGTTAATTGTTATAATTTTGGTTTTGAACAATCAATTCTTTAGATTTACATCATATTTTTAAGTTTCTCTGTTCATTGTTGCTTCTTGTGTCTCATTCTTTCCTTCTGAATTGAATGTCCCCTTTCTGAATTACATCTCTAGGAAAATATGACAGTGAGGGTGGTAATGCCTATTGTCCTTTTAAATGAAGGCATATTTATTTTGCCCTGATGTTTAATTAATAGTTTTGTTGGATTAAAAAAAATTCTATGTTGACAATTATTTGAAAAATTATCCCATTCTTTTCTGACTTCAATCATTGTAGCTTAGTAGTTGGCAGTCTGTCTTGTCATCCCTTGAAAGCCATCAGTCTTCCCCCCCACCCCCTGGTTGCTTTTAAGAGTAGTTTTGCCTTAATAAGTTTAGATTGGAATCTCATTTTACTTCCTGAATTTATGTTCGTGAACCTGGATTCATGTTTTGGATCAATTTTGAATAATTCTTATTCATTATTCTCTTTAAATATTGTCTCCCCTCTTCTCCCCCAACCTCTCTCTTTCTCCTGGAAGTGTATCTGTTGGGCTTCATTATTTATCATCCATGTTGTTTAACTTCCCATTCATAATTCCTATGTCTGGCTTTTTATCTTACATTCTGAGTAATTTTCTCATATTCATCATCCAGTTTACTATTCCTCAGTTCGAATGTATTCAGGTGTTTAAATGGTCTATTGAGTTTTTAATTTGTCAAAATAGTTGTTATTTCTGGAAATGTATTTGGTTCTTTTCCAAGCCTGTTTTTACTTAAAAAGTGTTTTATTCCTTCTTTTATATTTTTAATCACTTTAAACAGATTTTATAGTTTCTAGCTGAAATACTTGGAAATTCTGCCCTGTATTAGTATCTGCTGTATCATGGTGGATATGTTAAATTTCATATTCTGAGTTTGTCTTTGACAGAGTATTATGGGAATACTTCTGTGGGGCATGGGTTGTGGATGTGTCCCCATGGAACAGGCTTTTATTTCCTTTTACCATGTATCCATGGATATTTCAGCCCAGTTCCAATTTTTAAATTAATTTCTTAGCATGAGTGTTCCCAGAACATGTATATGGATGGTATAGAGGGCAGCTCCCAACTTCAGCTGTTGTGTAGTACAAGTCAACAGTTATGCGTTGTTGGGGCAAGTTTATCCTCTACCCCAAACCCAGCTCCAGATTAACTTTCTTTTTTTGATGAATATTGGTGGGCAGCTAAAATAATCTACTTTTCCTTTATCTCTGGCCCTTAGGGATTTCCACTGTGTTCTTGCAATATCAGAAAGGATGTTTGCTCTATTTTATTTAGAATTCAGTTTCCCCAAAGGGTTTTGGGGAAACTAAGTGTGCCATGTTACCAGAACTGGAAGTCTGTGGAGAGTCATTTACATGTATTTAAAATAAATTATATATTCAACACTATCTCTGATATGGAATAATTTCATTTGTTTGTTTGTTTGTTTATTGGAATAATTTTAGTGTACCATTTCTATACAATGGATTTTAGAATGTGGAACATTTAGGAATTAAAAATATATTTAGTTATTTTGTTCTTTTAAACTACCTGGGAACTATTCTTTCTAAATTTGCGTTGGAAAGTTCTTGACTCTGTGTTCATTAAATACCAAATCCTGTGTTGGAATTTTGAAGACTATGAGTATGGAATAATAGGAACAGAGGCTGTTTGTGTATTCTTTAAAGCTCTGTTAGGAACAAATAACAGAAACTCAACTCCAAATGGCTTAAGTAAAAAAGGCATATTTATTGACTCAGATAACCAAAAAATCCTGGGGTTTATTTTTCAAGTATGGCTGGATCAATATGCTCAGAGAATGTAATTAGAATCAATCTCTTTTAATCCCTTGGTTCTTTTTTTTTTTTTTTTCAGTGCTGGCTTCATTCTCATTTGGATTCTCCCCTTATGGTGGCAGGATGCCTTCCAAAAGCCCCAGCTAAAGAGAGCTTCTCTTTCCCAGTCTAACAGACATTCTAGAACTGTGGCTTATTGGTCTGTGTTAGGTCACTTGTCCATTCCTGACCAATCCAAAGTGATTGAGGGGTGGTAGTCTCTGATTGGCCTAGTCCCTGGAGTTGTAGAGTGGGTGGGTCAGCTTTGATCAAATCACATAGGCTGAGAATGGAGGACAGTAGTTCTCTCAGAAAATAATTGAGGTCCTGTGATGGGAAGAAATGGGAATGGAAGCTGGGTACACAAAACACAACAAATGTCCCCATAACCTATCTAACTGCTTGTGTTTGCTGTTTATTTCAGGATAGTGTTGAGTTTAGAAACATCTGCAGTCATTTGGCTCTACAAATTCAAGGACAACAGTTTGACAGAGATTTGAATGCTGCCCACCAGTGTTTGAAGACAATAGTCAAGAAGCTGATTCAGTCACTTGCTAATCTTCCTTCAGATGCCCACGTGGTAGCCTGTGCTTCTTTGAGACAGATCTTACAGAATCTCCCAGACATATGATGTTCAAGACACCAGAACTAAAACCATAGCTGGTACTGCCAAGAGAACTGGGTATCTTACCTTCCTAATTCAATCAGCAGACAATGGATGCTTTTATCCCCAGCAAGGAGAGACTTGATGACATATACAGCAGTCTGACCAATGGCGTCTGTACCCTTTAGATTATAGCATGTTGGTGAAAATTTTTTAAAGCAGTAGTTCACATTTTTAAGTATGTTGAGATATTTGCTTACTTTTTGATTGAAATATATTCTACTTTGTGGAACTGATAGGATTATATATGTATATATTTACTAATTCATATTAAGTATTAGTTTTGATCAAATGATACATTTATCTATACTTATATTAATGTAGGCCTATGTGGTTTAATATGTTATTTAATATGGTTATTTATATATGGTTATATGATTAAAGCTTCATGGTTCTTAAAATTATCTTGAATAAATAGGATATTTGACAATTGATATGTTCTACTTACTGAGGATTTCATTTTATGTTATGAAAATCATCTTTAGATGTTGTAGGACCACATGTGTCAGTAATTATGAGTTCCGATGCTGGCATTAATAACTTACTGTTGGACAGGAAAAGAATTGCTTCTAAGCCTTGTGCTTTCATATACTGATTTGTAAATTTACAATGATAATGAGCTATGAAGTACCAAGGATATATGATATGTAAATACAAAGTACAGTATTATTAAAGTCTCATGTGGAAACATGTAGCTCTTCTTACTGTTTCTAAATATTCCAATTGAAGTAGGAAATTCTTGTGAAAAACAGGAGGGAGTGGATACCCTGGCAGGTTTCCCTAAATATTTAGAGCTAGGAAAAGAGAGGCTAACTTTTTTTTTTGCACCAGTGATCTGAACATGCTTAGGAAAAACTAAATTTCCTGTTGTTTAATGATGACTGTATTGAGAACCAAAGTAAATTGCAATGCTGCCTTTCCCTTAAAAGTTTAATAGAAATGGCATCAGATTTAGAAAAAAGAGTACACTGTCTACGTGCAGCTTATTTTCTGAAGGAATTAAAAACTAGGTCTGCATGGTGAGAGTAGATCTGCTTTTAAAAAATAAAGTGTTAGTAGTAGTCAAAGCCTTTTAAATTCCACATATTCTAATCCTAGTTGGTTCCAAAATTTTATCCCAGGATATAATGATGAAAGGTAAATATATTCCTTCTCTTTAGATGTAACTGACCATTCCATAGAAGAGAATTACATTTATGGGACTGAATTCTAAATGAAAGATGAAAGGTATGTGTGTGTGTGTGTGTGTGTGTGTGTGTGTGTGTGTGTGTATAAGGGTGAGGTGGGCCAGAAAAGAAGGGCATTTATTTCTTGGAAACAGTCTTTGGTACTTAGTTCTCTCATTCCTAGGAAACATTGTATTCTGGGACTGTCACCATATTTTACAGTGAAGTCTTTCTTTCCCTGGGGAAATTATCCCAGGACTGTTCTCTAAAGACCTATCATTATTTATAGGCTGCCTTCCCCATTGTAGTCAATAGCTCTCTCTAAATAAATATTAACATTAAGGCTTTTTTTTTTTTTACTCTCATCCCCAAGAGATATTAAACATTTTTGCTTCTTTCTATCTGTTCTTGTGTTTTTTCCCCCTCATTTTGCAATGTGTTTCCCATAGACCAATTAAAACCCTATTTCATACTTTAAGTCCTGATTTACCTACTACCTCCTCATTGCACTCTCCTGGATCATCCTAGTAGGACATGGATTCTTCTTCCTCTGAACTCATACTGGTATTATTACATACCATGTTATACCAAGGCTACTGGTATACTTGCAACCAAGATCAGCTTGCTGAGGGCAGGGATTATTTTAGACATATTTGTATATTGCATAACAACTACAATTCTAAAAGTTCCTTGACTCTACTAGAACTTCTGTGTCTTTATCACCTTTTCACACTGCCCCCACCTCTTACTTCTGTGGCTTATGTGCTATGCTCAATTTGTATGATCATTTGGTTGTACATGTCACCAACTCCTTCTCTTTTCCTTTGGTTGAATGCTGTAGATAAAACTCCATTCCTGGTCAAGACCAACTCTCTGCTTATTCCACATCTCTATATGAGTTCTGAATGTAGCTTGAGTACAACACACAGCCATGCAAATTTCACTTCAATTCATGGTTCCCAATCTCAAGGGGACCTCATATTATCCATTAGTACTACTTCATTTCCTAGACCTGCAATATCCAGTACGGTAGCCATTGGCTACATGTGGCTATTGAGCACTTGAATATGGCTCGTCTGAACTGAGATATGCTTGAAAATGTAAAATGCACACTGGCTTTTAAGAAGTTAATACTAAAAAAAAGAATGTAAAAGATCTCATTTTTTAATACTGATACATGCTGAAATGATAATACTTTGAACATATTTGGTTAAATAAAATATATTATTAAAAATAATTTTACCAGTTTTATTTTACCCTTTTAAGGTGGCTGCTAGAAAGTTTGAAATTCCATACACGGCTTGCATTCTATTTCTATGGATAGTGATGTCCTAGAAAATTCACTAGATAATTCAACACTGTGCTTGACAATTTACTTTCTCAGGAAGGTTGTTCCACACCTTCTCACACTTGTTTCTTCTCCATTCTCCTCATTCTCAGCTGATGACCTTGTCTTTCATTGCATAGGGAAAATAAAAGCCCTCAGAAAAACATGTTCATCTTCACACTAACAGATCAACCATATACTGAGTTCCCCTTTGTTATAAGAAAGACATGTCCTACTCCTGCCCAAAGCTGACTGACCACTCAGGCACTGGACCCTGTTTCCTCTCACTTGAGCACTTCCCTTTTGTACTCATTCTTTTGCCTGCAGTATCAATTCTTGCCTCTCAATAGGAGCATTTCTATCAGCATGCTATTATCTTATAGTAATTCCTCCAATCTTTGAAAAACAATTCCCCCAGCTACTACTTTATTTATCTCCTCCCCTTAAGAGGAAAACTCATGGCAGTTGTCCAAATTAGTTGTCTACCATTCTTTTTTTCCCAATTCCCTTCTGAGCTCACTCTAGATGAATTTTGTGCCCACACTCCACCAAAAATGTTCTTGTCACGACTCCCATTGACTGCCCACTGATAAATTCAATGGTAAATTCTCAATCCTCATCTTACTTGATCTATCAGCAGCTTTTGACATGGTTGACTACTCCCTCCTTGAGTCATCTTTTTTTTTTTTAAAGATTTTATTTATTTTTATTTATTTGAGACAGAATGAGAGAGAGAGAGCACATGAGAGGGGGGAGGGTCAGAGGAAGAAGCAGGCTCCCCGCCGAGCAGGGAGCCCGATGCGGGACTCGATCCCGGGACTCCAGGATCATGACCTGAGCCGAAGGCAGTCGCCCAACCAACTGAGCCACCCAGGCGCCCCCTCCTTGAGTCATCTTATTTTGGTTTTCAGGTCAGCAGACTTTCTTGATTTTACTTCACTAACTCACTCCCAGAACTGTTTCTTATTTCCTCCACATTGCCCTGACTTCTTAATTTTAGAGTTCCTCAGTCTTGGTCTTGGTCCTTTTTCTATTTTACACTTACTCCACAGCGATTTTAAATACCAGCTATTCACCAATGATGCCAAGACATATGTCTTTCACCCCGAACTCCAGATTCCTGTAGCCAAATCACTATAGAGTATCTCTACTTGAATGTTTAAAGGGCTTTTCAATTCCAAAACAGAATTCTTGATCCCCAAATCTGCTTTTCTCCCCACCACATCTTCTAACTCTTACTTGGTGGTGACTTATATCCTTCCAGCCAAATACACAAAAAGAACATTAAAATCATCCTTGACTCTTCTATTACTCTCACATATAGCCACTCAGTCAGCAAATCCTAATGGCTCAACCTTCAAAATATATCCCAAATCATATCACTTCTCACCATCTCCATAGCCACTACGCTAGTCCTATTCCTGCCTGGAGTATCACAGTACTTTCTTAAATGGTCACACTAGTTCAGTGCCCTCTCCCTATTATTTATTCTCTATCAGTCACAGTAGTATAAATCAGACTAATTACTCCTCTACTGTCAAGCCAATGGCTTCCCTTTTTACTCAGAATAAAATTCAAATTCTGCCTCTGACCCATCTCCTACTACATTTCTACTCTAACAACATCGGTTCTCACCTCTTCAAACACAACTAGTTATAGGGCCTTTGTGTTACTCATTCCTCTGCCTGAAAGACTTCTTTCCCAACTACTTCAAGTAGGTCTCTACTCCAATGCCCCTCATTAAAGAGGCCCTCCCTTATCAAAGATAGCATCCCCTGTCACTCTCTTATCCCTTCTCCCTGCTCTGTTTTCTTCATAAGGCCATCCTGTAATGGCCTAAATTTATGTGCTTATTGACCATTGTAGTGTATTGAATGGTGGCCCCCAAAGGGTATGTCCATGTCCTAATCAGGAGAATGTGTGATGATTACCATATATCCCCCCCAAAATAATTATGACCTTAGATAGTAACAGAGGTGATTAAATTACAGATAATGAAATTAGATTTTCTGAGATTATCTGAGTGGACCCTAAATGCCATCAGAAGTGGCATTTTAATGGGGGATTTGATCCCTCCAGTATTCTCCTAGTCTTACATCTTTCAGTAACTATCTAAACACAAAGTAAAAAGTTAAAAGGACAATTTTAAGGATTAAGTTATTTAGAACATTTTGGTTAAGTGTTGGGTTAAAAACAGTCATGTAGCTACTATTCAATAAATGGTTAATGATCATGATGCTCATAAAATGACAGGGCCAGACAAAGTCACTCTGAAGAGAAGTCCTTTTTTCCTCAGCTTTTCCTTGTAGTCTTTTTCCTCTTTCCCTTTACCTTGAATGTTACATAAATGTCTGTTTAAAAAGGCACATTTTAAACTTTATTATTGTGGGCTATTTTCTTCCATAGCCATATCATCATCATCAACAACAACAACAATAACAACAATCTTAATAAAAATTCCCACATTTTTGTGACTCCAGCAATGTCTGGAGAGATTTGGCATCTTGGAGTCAGGCTG